GCTGTCGCACTTGTTTATCTATCTTGATCGTTACTACATTGAGCGGAGATCACTTCCTGGGCTGAAAGAAGTTGCACTTGGCTGTTTCCGCGACTTGGTTTACCTCCAGGTGCATGCGCGCGTGACAGCAGCTGTAATAGGTTTTATTCATAGAGAACGTGAGGGAGCGCAAATTGACAGAGCGCTGCTGAAGAATGTGATGGATACATTGGTTGAAATCAAGGTGGAGGGAGTGAAGACTGCTTATGAAGTGAACTTTGAAGCACACATGCTGAGAGAAACCGGTGTATACTATTCGCATAAAGCATCGAGTTGGATCATGGAGGATTCTTATAGCGACTACATGTTGAAGGCGGAGGAATGCGTGAGAAGGGAGAGGGAGAGGGTTTCGCATTACCTGCATCCAAGTAGTGAAAATAAGGTGGTGGAGATTGTGAAACATTGCTTGCTGGTGGTTTATGCAACTCAACTGATTGAAAAGAAGCTTTTTTCTGAATCTGTATCTAGTGCTTCGCTTGCAGCTGATTATGTCGAGGAGCTTTCAAGGAAATTTATTGCTAGTGTAACACTGGCACAGTGAGTTTCTGCTGAATCTGGATTTACTGCATGACATGTTAAAATTTTGTTGTTTTTGTTTATCAGTTAAGCTTGAATTTGCTGCGAATTTCGAGCAGCTCTTTAACTACAGGATTTTGAAAGAATGGGGTTTTCTTCTGCTTAATCTGTTTTGGGGCATGCATGCTTTTGTATTGAAGCACTAAGTTTTAGGTTAAATTAATTAAATTTCATCCAAGCATCATGCTGTATATGTTAAAGTTCTGTTTGCCATACTCGGTTGTGTTGTCTCTTGCTGAATTTGCAGGGTTCTCTTCAATCATCTGTAGCAGATTCTTTCACTGGCATCTCCAACGACTGTCAACTGAACATGGTGTAGGCCAAGTTCAAAGTCGTTGGAGATCGCAGGCAAATAGTTTTGCTATAACTAAACTTGATTGTTCAAGCATGTGTACACAATCTGTATCCTTCGGGTAGAGATTGTTAGTATTGTATAGATGATTGTCCAAACATCAATCTTGAAGAACAAATTAAATTAGAGACCGTTTAATCGATCATAGAGAACAAATCAACCTTTTTTTTGAAATGAAGGAATCAATTAAGGAAGTAAATAATTTGATAACAAATACAAGTAATTAAGCTTTGACTAGTGTAGATGCTACAGAATATAGATTATTTCCTAATTGAATATATAATCAAGGATTGGAAGGGCTAACAAGGTTCTTATTCCTGCTGTATCCTAATTAGTATCATCAAATTATATATTTCTATACCTTTATATATGAATTAATTAATTAATTATTCATCTCTCGCACAACTAAAACCAAACGATCAAGCTATTGGTGTATCCGGCGCCTCACAATCAGCTTCCTCCACCACAAGCGGCTGTGACGCCGTGGGATTGTACTGTTGAAGCACCATAACCGATGCCGTGGACGAAAAGTCCGACGACGCCAAGAAGCTCCCCACCGGCCCCAACTCCGCGCAGTCACTCGAACTGTTCACCAATGGCGCCGTCGGAGGCATTCTCCCCACAATAAACAAATTGACATTTTTAGCCATCGATTTCAACACGACACAAATCTCCGCCTTGCTATCCACCACCTTCTCCTCGTACAACATCGACGGCTCCCCGCCGCCCTCCTTGTTCCCACTATTCTTCCTCACATTCATAAACTCCGCCAAAAGCGACTCGTCGTTCTCCTTCTCGTCGCCTCCGCAGTCTTCCTCTTCCAAAATCTTCATATTCTTGTCGGAAGTTATCCCGACCAATTTCGCGCCAAATCTCAACGTCTTCCCTTCTGGGGCCACAAACCGAATCAACGTCATCACAATCCCCGGATGCTCCGCCAGCCTCATTCCGTAAGCCAACGCCTCCCTGTCGTCCCGCCCTCCGAAAAACGCCACCACAATATTATACGACACATCGCTGGCCGAGACCTGGGCTGTCCCGCCAAGACCCCTGTCCACCAAAATCCCAACCGAACAGGGAGCGTGTTTGAGCACCCGCTCGTTGACCGAACGAAGTGCGTTTCCTAAAGACTCCATGGTGCCGTCGAGCCTCTGGTGTTTGTGAAACGGGAGTAAAATCACGGCTGTGTTCTTTTGGTGGGCGCTGGCGCAGATGTCCTCGTGAATGTCGCTGAGGGAGGAGATGGCGGTCATGGGGCGGACCTTGACGGAGCTGAGCTGCTCGTAGGCCTCGAATGCAATGACCATTTGGTCCTTGTTGTTTTCGTCGGTTTTTTTGTTCCAGAAGGGGAGGCCGTTGTGGCGGGCTTTGTGGACCATGGAGATGGCGGAGGAGCGCTCCGAAAGCTCCATGAGGTGCATGGCGTAGACGGTGAGGCGGCCGCGCTTGCGGGTCCCCCTGGAGGACTCGATGAGGTTGATCATGGTGGGGATGTTGCGGGTGCTGTGGAAGCAGGCAAGCATTCGGAGCTCCGTGTCGGGGTTCTTGCGGAAGACGCTGCGGTGCTTGTAGGGGGCGCCTCGGCGGGCTGGCTTGTAGATGGCCACCACTAGTGGGGTGGTGATGAAGGTGGTGAATAATGCCATTAGGACGAATATGGCGAAGGTTTGGTCGTTCAGCACCTAACATGGTTGAAAATTCAAACTCGAATAGTCAATTATAAATTTTCTAATCTAGTAACTATGATGTGTGTGAGAGATTACTGATCGCCACGGCAACATTATAGACCGACTAAATTGTATAAATCAAATGATATGAAAGTTAATAATTAAATTAGTATTTAAATATTAGTTAACGTATTTATTTTTTTATTAGTGACTTAACATGTTAGCAATAGTAAATTGATTTCCCACCAAAAAAGTTGTTAGTTTACTAAATGAACATATCCAATATGTATAGCATTACTCAAATCATATTAGACACAAAAAGATAAGAACAATTATTAATATTAAACGAATCCTCCACATTTTGTTACGAAATACTTGATCAAAATTATTGGCATCAAGAATGAATCATTTCTTTTGTTGCTTAATTAGAGGTGAATGTGTAAAAACCAAACTTTTGAGAGCAATTTAGAGTGACATATGGAGGTCACAAGAAATTAATTACTAACCTTTCTATCCTTGCCAATGTTGAGGACGATGAGCTCCACCAACCCCTTGGTGTTCATCAGAAACCCAAGCGCCAACGCCTCCCTGAACGGCACCTTACACGCCATCGACAAACTCACCGTCCCCACAATCTTCCCAAAAGACGCGGTGAATATAACCAGCAGCAGCAGCGCCCACGACTGCCCGCCGCTGATGGTCGCCACGTTGGTCTTCAGCCCGCTCGACACGAAATACAGCGGCAAGAAAAGCCCCGACACCAGATCCTCTATCTTCTCTATCAGCACCCCGGCGAACGGGCCGTCCTTCGGCACTATTATCCCCACCACGAACGCGCCAAACAGTGCGTGGATCCCAATCACGTCCGTCACGAAGCTCGCCGCCAGGACGAGGGACAACGTGATGCAAATGTAGAGCTCCTTCACCGGCTCGCCGTCGGGTGACCGCCTCGCCATCATGACGAGGAGCGGTCTTAGGGCGAAGATGCAGAAGCCGACGAAGCAGGCCCCGGAGAGTAGGACCCACACGGAGACGAGAGGGGAGGTGTTTGTGCCGGTGAGGGCGATAGCGAGGGCGAGGAGGATCCAGGCGGCGACGTCGTTCACAGCGGCGGCCGACATGGCAATGCGGCCGACGTCGGTGGTGAGGAGCTTCAGCTCGGCGAGGATGCGGGCGAGGACGGGGAAGGCTGTGATGGAGAGGGCGACGCCGATGAAGACGAGGAAGGGGCCTTGGCTGACGCCTTTGGAGACAGTGGCGCGGAGGGCGAAGGAGGTAAAGACGCCAAGGACGAAAGGGAGGGTGATTCCAGCGACGGCGATGCCTAGGGATTTCTTGCCGGTGCGTCGAATGGCGCGGATGTCGAGTTCAAGGCCGACGAGGAACAAGAAGAAGAGGAGTCCGATATTTGCCACGGTGTCCAGAACGGTCATGGCTTTTGCCGGGAAAACAGTGTGTAGAAACTTCTGGCTTCTCCCCAATGCCGACGGTCCAAGCAATATCCCTCCCTACAATTTTATGTGCATGCATGCAGAATTAATATACTTTGTGTTACCAAAGCGAAACAGAAATGTTCTCTTATCAAACAATCTGAAACGTAAAATAATAATGTTGCTAAATCGTGAATTTGAATCATTGATCAGGTTAACGAAAAGACTTACAATGACTTCGGCTATGACTCGAGGTTGCCGGAGAGGTCTAAGAAGGAATGCAAGTGTTCTTGTGAAAACAACGACCAAGACAATCTGGAGAATGAGTAAGGGAAGAGCAAAATCCAGGGGATTTTCGCCTTGAAACGATCCATTGGATGTTGCCTTCATGGGGGCAACCAGCGGTGGCGGCGGAGCCATCTTCAGATCGATTGAATTGGTCAGGGATTCAATAGATCACTACACACACCATGCATCCACCGGCCACCCCAACATACCAATGTGTAAAAACCAATTGATGAAGAAATGAACCAACACAATTCTCCTTTTCTTTTGACACGATGAAGAGAATCTCAGGAGGCTAACGTCGGACGTCTTATATAATGATATCCGTCAGTTGATCTCTGCGCGTGTGCAACTGCAATTTGGTTTGATTCGGAACGGACTATGGAGAGGGAACAAAAGAAGCTAGCACAGCAAAGGGAAGAGAAAAGTGTGACAAATAAAACCAACATACTAATTATAGCAAATGACAACACGTTGAACGCTTTCTTTGCTTGGGAGTTAAGTGCCTGGTGATTCCTCCTTCCCCTCCTACATGTGGTTATGGTTGGTTTGAATAATAATTTCAACCTGAATTTATGTCGACTCCGGTCTCAAATGACCAATAAACCTCAAGTTTGAATGCAATGCCCTAACGAATCAATAATCACGATATAAACTAATCACCACATATCAGAATTTCATCTCCAATACGTATAATTTTCGGAGAGACGAACTCCATTGGAAAGAAAATTGACAGCATATCCATGTCAAATGTTGAATTAACTAGGAAAAAGCAACTCTGCTTACACATTGATACATCCTTCTATCCAAATCTTTTACAAAAACTACAAAAGGGGGTACGACGATCCAAAATAGAATTGAGTCTTTGGTGATCCTAGAACTGAAGGCCGTGTTCCCTGGCTGCATCAGCAAGGGCTTGCACACGTCCATGATATGGGTATCCACCACGGTCAAAGGCCACCTTTGAGATCCCTTTCTCCAAACAGGACTTTGCAATGACTTCTCCTACCTTCTTTGCTACTTCCTGATGCCACAAAGCTTGAATGGATCAGAACTTTTATTTAACACACATGAAAGCTAAGGGAACAAGGTTTTCAAATAGAATGTAATATACCAAATGAGAAACCGACCGATCAAAATCTACTTTTCCAACTGCTAAGTTTATTACTATTATCCGTAATGAATTCATCTACTGTAAGTTCATTGAACACGAGCGACAGAAGGAGCTTGCAGATTGATGATATGTAACAGTTTAACCAAGCAATGGGGATCTGGAGAAAATGATATGGGAAAAGCCGTGTGGCCTTATATTTAAATAGAATAGAAAACATGTATATTGTTCATTTCCGCTGTTTTCAGATTAATGAAACACATGGCCTGGAGCAATATTTAACATGTTTAAGCGATATGTGTGAACTTACAACGGTAGGACCAGAAGTGTAGTCAAATTCTTCGGAGATGGGTTTCTGCATTGTTGAAGCCGAAGCAAGTGTGTGCATCTTGGTGTCATCAATCACTTGGACATAGATATGCTTGTGGGAGCGGAAGATAGCTAATCTTGGCCTTTCGGGAGTCCCTTCAACCTGAGAACAAAACAGATGCGCCATCCATAACCAAAACCAGAAAAGCAAACAAATGTCCGCAAGATAACTCATTTCGTAAAATTCACAATCATAATTTGGTGAGTGCAGATAATAAACTCATAGAATTAAGGGTCCGTTGAGAACGCATCAATGTCACTAACAAGAACCCAATTAAAGCTTCAGAATTTCAAGTGTCAACCGAAGACCATAGGCTCAAGAGGATTTGGGAAACTTGTCTAATTCTTCTACTTCACCAATGTACTATAACAATCCAAATAAAGCTTCAGAATTCTTGTGCCGAAAAGAAAAAGGTTTCGAAATTCGTTAACTTGAAACTAGAACAGGCTAACCAGTTCAACTATATGCAGAATGAGAGTGTCTAACACATGAAATTGAAGACGCCCATTTTCCGGTTCTTGAGAAGCTAAACTCCAGCGATACTTACTTGGTCTAATGCGAAGAAGGAGGTTTACACATTACTCAGAAACAGACAATAAACGGCTTCTGAGTTGCCAGGGAACAAGATAAGGGGCAATTCAGAGCATATAATCTCAAGGGAGAAACAATTGTGCAGCAAAGTTCATCTTATATTATGTGGGTTGAAAGCAAAGAAATCAAATTGCAGAATTGTATATGCATATATATATAGAGAGGATTGGTAATGATGCCTTCTTTCTGATACGGGTATGGCGGGCGGTCCTGTCTTCTCTTTTGGTGGTGGCTTTGGCTTCCACGACAAGAGACCGAGACTGAGTCCTTGGGAACGGAGTCGCCGCCACTCCCACGAGCTTAGGACGCAGCCATAGCTGCTGAGAAGACGCTAGGAACGATAGCGAAGCTGACATTGTATCTTTCCGTCTCCCTATCTTCGTCTCTCAGTCTCTCTCTGTGTATTTCTAAAGCCCCACCATGCTATTTGGAACCTTATCCATCCCCCTCCCAGAATTGAACAATACTTGCCTACTCGGAGTAGGAACTGGTGTTCAAAAATTTTCAAAATTATTTGTTGTTAAATTATAGAATTTTGTGCTTATAATCATAATAGTTAATATTATAAATTACCATGTAAAAATCGTTTCTGTAAAAAATCAATTAAAACTAAGGTCGTTTAGTCATCAAACTATTTAAAAACAAATGAACGGTATTGGTAAAAGTATTATGAACCGTCTATGTATTTGCTACAATAGATTGACTAAACGACCTTGGTTTTAATTTAATTTTTTCAGAGATGATCTTTACAATGTGATTCATAGTATGAACGGTTCTGATCTTAAGCACAAAACTCTGCGATTAAATACTACTCATTTTCATTTTTAGTAGGAGTTGCTACTCATTTTGAGTAGCCAAGTATTGTTCCAAACAATACCCACTGTTTTTCTTTTGAGTTGGTTGACACTTTTTATTTTACTTTCCACACATTATTTTCAATTTACATCTATCAAATTGAATTAATTGAATATCAAAAGATGGAATTTAAGACATTCTCAATTTTCTGTCATCGAGTCAAATGAATTGAAGAAGATACAAAATAAATTTCCAAAAAGTGTGTGGAGGTAAAATTGGGTGTCTAGTTAGCACCACCTTTCTTTTTTTTCTATTTTATTTCAAATAAAAATTTGCCAAAGGGGTTTTTTTCCCATCAGCCAAATTTCTTAAATTATGCTTTGAAGGTGTGATTTTAATTTATAATTAAAAATAATAATCTTTTAAGGAAGTGTAATTTCAATTTTTTTTTTTTTGTTTGTTTGTCAGATAATAAAACGACTTGCTCATAGCATCGTGTCCTGCTACAAGGCAAATGCCTTGTCCATCCAGTTGTGATTAACGAATTTTCTCGGTTCATATTTCATAATTAGTAGTCTGTTTTCTTAATCGTCATTTAAAGATTGAAAAAGTGTATATTAAGAAAATGGCCGGTCATTTTTCCCCAGGCCAGCGTTGTACTTCACTTGATGTTGAAGAACTTTTGTGAGAGAAAAATATAAGGTGTTGGTTCTTGTGGCAATTCTAACTCAGGTTTTACAAGCAGGCAAAACCCCGTTAGTACAGAAGCTCATACGCAGCTGGTACATCATGCACCGGGTGACCTCGGTTTCTTTCCATTATCTTTCCGGCAAGGGAGACTTGTTTCAACATCACAAAGATGAATGCCTTCCCTATTCCTACAGCAGCTCTGGCTGTTCTTCCTACACGTCGCACATACTTGTATCGCGAGGGATGTCGAAGAGTATAACATGATCCACACCGAAAAGTCAATTCCACGCGGTGCTCTGCCAGATATTTCATAAACGTCAACTTGCTGATTACCATATGTAAGCAAAGTTCAGTACAGGAAATGATGCAGAAAGCAATAGAAGTACTACCTATCAGTGCAAACCAGAAACTGTGAGACTTCCTTTGAATTAGAGTTGGTGAACTCCTCCACATTTGCGAGCCTTCCTTGAGCCAACGCAGAGTGGAATGGTAGAACTCGAACGCGAGTTCCACTTCTGTCAAAACGCGTTAATATATTCTCAACTTTTATGCATGTCTCAATCTGCATATTGGAAAGGAAAAGCTAACTTGAGTTGAACTTTATGAAGTGACTTGAGAAGAAATTAAGTTCCACATTCAGAGAAAGGAAAAAGTCAGTGATAAGCCACTCAAAAGTCGAAAGTCAAAAGGGAAAGGTTCCACCTTACCTTGTTACAGACAATAATCGATTTGGGAACTAGACTTCCCTCCACAAGCTGCAGAAGAGCAGATTTCTTATTTGAGAATGCCTTCTTTGGAGATTTTCACTTCCATCATCTCCACTGCAATCTACAAGCACCGGACATTAATTGTGATTATCAGAATCCATCATTTTGGAGTAAGGTAAAGCTCTTCAGTTCTAATAAAAAGAATTTGATTTGAAATTAGGAAAAAAAAAATTGATCAAAAGTGAAACTAATAATGCGGCAACAATAAGAATACCCTTTTCTGCAATCCACGCGCCCCACTTGCCCACTCGCCCACTCGCCAACTCGGGAAGACGGGGCAGAAGAGGTACTTGAATTTACATGCCCTGCATTGCCAACACCATCTGTAACAAGCCTCATGAGTCCCCTATCATCTACTAAATCTTTCCAACCTCCGCCGTCTTAACTCTTCCAAAGTAAGGTGACCAGAATAATGTGGTGACCGAGGTGAACCCATGCCACTGCCATAGCCATCCCCTCTCCTATTTGTCGAACACATTTCACATACATCTAGCCAAGCAGAATTCTCATACGTACAAGCATGGCACCTCCAGAAACCAGATACAGACATTCCTCTTTGACTCCAACCAACAGGTCCTCTACCGGATACTTGCCTCCGCGGAAACCAGCGCTGTAAAAACCTCAGAGGCCATTTCAGCACACCAAAAACACCTCTGAAGATAGCAGTAAGTGGGTCTGAACCATTATACGAACCCCTCAGCCAGACATACACAAGACCGGCAAGTATTCCACTCAAATGGCCAACAAAAGAGACACCAGGTACCAGCATTTGGGCAAAAGCCAATTCTGCCCACACAGCATAATGGGACGGTATTGGAATTCCATACACATAACTGTTCTCAGTCTGTGAATTGAGCACGACCTTCATGGCAAAGAGAACCCCAGAAAACCCGACAGAGTATTCAGAGTAGAAAGACCAGTCATAGTCGAAGAACATTAGTAGGGACTTGGAAATCAGCAGTGACATTCCTTGGGACATACCCAGCAGGACAGCAACCATGGATGCAAATTCAGCACTATCCATTGAAGATTCTAACGGAATCCCCTTCCATAACAGGGAGAGCATGTTGTAAACCAAGTGAGACTCTCCGGCGTGGAAGAACGGCGACAAGAAGAACCGCTTCAAGTCCCCATACTGTTCAAACCAATTGCAAAAACAGCTTGCCCAAGTCATATAGAATAAACCCAAATTCAGAAAAAACGCTCACCACATTATATATATAATGAACCCATTAAAACCCAACTGACATATGAAACCAAAACAAGAAAAAGGTTGTAGCTTGCGATAAATTCTAACAGAAAAGAATAATATTTACATGGAAGGGACCGAAATTAGCACATTACAAACAATTTGGGGTTTTTCATAACTTAGAAATTGGAATAATAAACTGGAAAAAGCAACAAAAATGGGTTATTATTTACATTGTTCATCAAAAAATGAAAAAGAAAATAAATCAGTTGTAGCAAAATATAACCAAAAAAAACAAATCACAAGATTATTGCATACATGGAATTATAAAAAGAGGCAAAATTAAAACTTTACAACAACTTGGGGTTTTTTTAGTAAGAAATGAGAAATTACCTTAAGGATGAGGTGGGGATTGAACCTGACTTCTTCAATGGAAGGAAGAATGGGGTCAAGAAAATCTGGGTGTAAGTAGATGAGAGAGTTGGCGGCGATGAGTCCGGCGGTGATGGGTGGTTTCCGGTCGAGCCTGTAATACTCACTGAAGGTGTGAAGTGCCAGCAGCGGCAACATCCCGTTCGATCGCGGCCTTCGAATTCCTCTCACCATTTTTTAGCTTCGAACTGCGTTGGATTGGTTGATCTTCGAGCGCAACGGCCTTCTCTGTCGAATCGATTTGGCTTCTTGGTTCGTAAAGCACCTTCCAAAGTCCAAGACTTGCGCGTGACTTGCGCGTGCATGAAAGGCTTCCGTAAGTTTTCGGGTTTATATATCTATATCCCTTCTTTGTCAACGAAAAAATATGAAAAGACTCTTCTATTATATAAAAAAATTATGAGTAATAATGTAATTTTATAAATCTAAATTTTAATATTTTTTATTGAAATTTCATCTACAAATGATATTAAAATATCTTTAATATTTAAAATTAAAAAAAAAAAACACTCCCCCCTGGGTTCTCTATCTCTCCCTCTCTCACCTTCTCATTTTAAAAAAAAAAAATATGTCATACAAACAAAGTGTATAGGCAAATGCTAGTTACACATTAATGATGATAACACTCTAAGACCAACACTATGAATATCAGAGAAGAACCAGAAACTGAGAAGAAAGAAGGAAAGAGAGAAATGAAGAATAAGGAAATTGTATTGATCTTTAGAATTGACTAACTGAATTACAATATGTGTTCTCTGCTATTTATAAACCAACATACATTCTTAGCTAGCAAGCTTTCTCTTTTAACTAACTAACTAACTAACTATAAACTGTTTTGATATTCTAACCGTTGATTGAAGTAATGAGCTGGCACTCCATCTAACCATTGATCCATCTCAGTCAACATCCCCCCTCAATCGTGGCTGGGGTACTCAGCCTAAGATTGTAACAGTGTCGAAGAAAAGCTGGACTGTGCAAACCTTTTGTAAGAACATCGGCAGTTTGATCCTCAGTTGGAATGTACACCACTTCTAGATCTCCTTGTTGAACACGTTCACGCACAAAATGAAAATCCGTGTCAAGATGCTTTATGCGAGAATGAAATACAGGATTCGCAGTAAGAGCTATGGCAGACATATTATCGCAATGAATTGTAGGAGGTGAAGACAAAAACACTTCAAGATCCTTCAGTATTCCCCTCACCCAAGCAACATCAGCTGCAGTGTGAGCAAGAGCCTTATATTCAGCCTCTGTTGAATGTGTTGTTCTAACTTGCTTTACAGAAAAAGACAGTCTACACATTTTCCCTGAAATACAAGCTGAACACATAGTAGAACAAGAATCTTTATGAACAGATACATCTGCAGTCTTCAACATGATAGACAATACTTCTTCAGATGGATGTCCCAATCGCTTGTGCCAAATTGAACTGCTCACTTTCTTCCCAAGAAACGCACTACACTTCTCCAATTTTGCAGCAAATGAACTTCTGAAAACAGATGCTGGTATCTTGAATAATTCCCCATCATCACTCTTTCCTTGGTACAAAATCACCCGAGTTGCCTTGTCCTGGATAAAAAACACCAAATCATCACAAATAAACCAACAACCATTATCTCTACATAATTTCTTGACTGATAACAAATTCATTGCAAGAAGTGGGACATGCAGTACATGATTCAATACAAAAGTATGAGTATCAGTAATAAGTTTAGATACACCAATGTTTTTGACAAGCAAACCTTCTCCATTTCCTATTGTGATTTTCGAGTCACCATTGTAAGGAGTGACTTGGTTAATATGTTCAAGATTAGCTGTCATGTGATGACTTGCACCTGTGTCAACTACCCATGTATCGGCATTAGAAAACCCATGAATACTTGGAGCTGCTTGTGTTGAAATGGATGACTGAGCTGCCATTCCCACAGGTGTTGGATTCAATGACTGAGGTGGAGGAGGTCCTTGATAAGAATAATTGTTCCTGTGATAGCATTGTATAGCCGTATGTCCTTTCTTGCCACAAATTTGACAAAAAACTGGCCCCTTGAATACTTGATCACTGTCAGTCCTATAGTAACAATTTGGTGCAGTATGACCCCTTCTTGAACAAATCTGACACTCTGGAGATATAGCAGCCTTGTAATTTGTATTACCATGCCAATTACTTCCTTGTCGAAAACCACTTCCACCTGGCAGAGCGTTAGAACTACCATACTGACCTTTTTGATTGTCAACTGACCCATTGGAACTAGTTGAACCATTAGAATCATTGAAACCATAAGATCTATTCCCAAAATTAGAATAGGACCTGGTATTGTTATTAGGACCATTGAACCGCCTGTTATTGTTGAAGTTCGATCTCTGTTGAAAAGATCTCCCACCATTGCCAGTAAAACCGAATCCACCATTAAAACTGCTTGAACCATTAAATCTCTGTGAATGAGAACTTTCACCTTGTTCAAATGACTGATAACCGCCTTGACTTCCTTGATTATGTGTTGAATCACCACGAACATACATAGCTGACATTGGCCCAGCAATATTAGTCAATCTTGTTTCAAGAGAACCCTCAACTCCAATCAATTGAGCCCTGAAATCCTTTAGAGATATAGATGTATCTCGAGCAAGAATTATAGTTTTAATGACTTCATACTCTGGTGGCAGCCCTGATAACACCGCAATCATCAAATCATTCTCAGTAATCCTCTCCCCTGCAGCTACAAGTTGATCTTTAATAACCTTCAGTCTCAGCAAGAATTTATCAACCGATTCAGACCCTTTTTGAGCAGTGTGAAATTCAGTTTTTAACTGATTGATCCTCACTACAGAAATAGAAGCAAATCTTTCTTGTAAACTTTCCCAAGCTTCTTGTGCAGTCTTGCATCCTATCACATGATCCATAACTTCATCACTAAGAGTAGCAATGAGTAAGCTCAGTAACGCCAAATCTTTCTGTATCCATTGTTTATAAGCTTGAGTAATCTCCTTTGTAACACCTCCTTCAGGCGTAATACATACTTTGGTGGACATTGTGATTCCCCAGTAAAGAAATCAAACAGATCATACCCACGAAGAACAGAAGAAAACTGATAATTCCATTTGACAAAATTATCTTCTTGCAATTTTACAGTAATCATACCAAGTAACCCTTCAATCTTGACTGAATTCATAGCCATTGTAAAACAAAACTAACACTCAACAATCAACAAACAACAAACTTCTGAATCTTTATACACAAAACACACTTCACACTGCTGGCTTCGGCCTTTTTATGCAGTACACAACTCAACAATCAACCATTTTCATTCTTTCAATCTTCAACACTTTGACAATCAACAATCTTTGAACTAAAAAATCTCACCACCAATTACAATCATTTCACACCCAGCAAAGCATATATTTCACAGCGACATTTCATCAAACAGTTCATCTACAACTTCAAGAACAGAAAAATACAATCGAAAAACGAAAATACCAGATTCCAGAAACTCCCCAGTAATCATCTCAGTCGGCCTGATACACAAAACTGCAACGGAAGAATCCCAAGCGATCGTTCTGAGCTCTGGATACCATGATAACACTCTAAGACCAACACTATGAATATCAGAGAAGAACCAGAAACTGAGAAGAAAGAAGGAAAGAGAGAAATGAAGAATAAGGAAATTGTATTGATCTTTAGAATTGACTAACTGAATTACAATATGTGTTCTCTGCTATTTATAAACCAACATACATTCTTAGCTAGCAAGCTTTCTCTTTTAACTAACTAACTAACTAACTATAAACTGTTTTGATATTCTAACCGTTGATTGAAGTAATGAGCTGGCACTCCATCTAACCATTGATCCATCTCAGTCAACAAATGAAACCTTATTTGTCAATCAAAAGAGAAAGAAAATGTATTTTTATCTTCTATCACAACAAAAAAGTTAAGGACAACAACTTAATTTCACAAAACAAAATTTTACTATTTTTTGTTTAAGCCTCACCTATATATAATTTTATCATCTTTAATTTAAAAAATTAAAAATTAAAAAAAATAAAAATAAATAAACCTCTCTCCTAATTCCTCCGTTCTCTCTCAGTCTCTTCCTAAATCTCTCTTTCAATTTTAAAAACAAAAGTAACAAAATTTCACATACTTTATGTTTGAGGACATACTATTTTAAGAAATGGGCTGACCCATAAGATAGCCCATTAACTAGTGAAGCAAGGCTCATGCCTCGCGGTGGGCACTACTAGGCCGGCTGCTATTAAAAGAAAAGTTTTATGTTGGTCAATCAAATTTAGTAATGTCACGTGAACTTATAACCTTCGTTTGATTTATCTGCTCAACTTTCAATTTCATCATCAACTTTCTTACTATTTTTTAAGAGAAATGTTTGGCTCTTTAAGCTGAAGTAGGAATTCCTCCTCAAAATATTTTGTGACTGATTTACGGAATTTTATACTTATGAAAACGATTTATATTATCAACCACTTTGTAAAGAATTTTTGAAAAAAAATTAATTAAAAGATAAAGTTGTTTAGTCAATCAACTATAACAAATAGATAGACAGTTTGTAATGCTATTACTGTATCTTGACCATCTGTTTTATGCTGCACAATGACTAAGCATTCATATTTTATTAATTTTTTGCTAAGTTGATCTCTACATAGTGATTTTTTAATATGAACAATTCTGACTATAAACAGAAAATTTCGTAAATTAATCGCAAAGTATCGGAAGGAGAAACTCATCCTTGCCAAGTTATTTTTTCTTTTATATAAAGGAGTAGATCACCCCAAAACTAACTTAATAAATTACTAGATGCAGTACACACACTATGTGTGATTTAATATTTTAAAAAGAATTAAATTAAATTTATGTAAAAAAAATTAGTGGAATGGGGAAGTTAGAAAAAGTGGGGAAAAAATAGACGTGGGTAGGTGCAAATGAGAGAGAGAGTGTGTGAATGAGTTTTACATAATGATACAATGACATGGTTGTGAGGTTTAGAGAAAAAAAAAGTAAAAACTTATCCGTACAAAATTAATATAATGTTCCATTTTTTTTCTTTTATAATATTTTCTATTAATATGAAATTTAGATTACAAACAATTCTTTTTTCTTTTTCTTCTTCAAAAAAAAAAAAATTACAAACACTACGGTCATAGAGACTACGATCAAATTATCAAAAAAATAAGTTTCCATTTAGATGGATCTCGAAATAATAGTACTTAAAATTTATATTATAACTTTAATCGACAAAGTCGCCATCTCTAACATTCTTCGTCTGGTAGACATAAACCCACGTTCTTCGCCCGC